TGCATAAGACCTGGTTTCAGTCACCCAAAAGGCCATGTTTGATTGGTAAATACAAAGCAGCTGTGGGAGGTGAGGCAGATTGAGATATCAGATCTGAAGGGTGGGCACATGGGGTCTGGCTCGTGTGTGAGGGCAGGCTTTGGCTGCAGTGGGATGGGAATGTTGCCAGGTGGTTGCCAACACAAATTTAGCTCCTGGTGGCCTTACCTTGCTGTGGACTACTGGGGATGCAGATGCTTTACAGTATGTCAGCACTCTGCCAAAAAACTTGTGGATGTGAACACCTGTGGATGCTGATAAGCTAAGTTAATTCACATACATGGGAAAGTGTTGCTCATATTCTCTTAAATACAGGGTTCACCAAAGCAACTGTGGCCTCTGGATAAAAAGCAACCTACCCCACACCCCAAAACTAGTGTTTGACTGGTCCTGGTGTTGCCTTTTTCCCAACTTGGAAATGAAACTTGAGATCATTTTAGTAAGGAGGTAATATAAGGCCTTTACTTGAAGGCCTTCAGGTGCAGTTATGGGAAGATGTCCCACACTCCCAAGAATGAGTACATTTTTTATATGTTCTAGGAAATTAGCATAATTGATAAAAAGCACCAATTAGGAGGACAAGTGGTGATGTAATCCCCCTCCTGCCCCCCCCAGGTCAAGCCCCTTCTCTGGAGTCCCCCCTCGGCACTAGCTGGGCTTTATCCATGAAATGTGTCCCAAAGAATTGTTGTAGGCCTTGGTTCCCAGGAGGAACCAAGACAGCAGAGGGACCTTGCACCTCCCAGGGCTTGGAGCTCTGGAAGTACTTTTGTTTTTCTGCCTAGAGAAAGGTCATGGAAAAATACTGGGAAAATCAGCCACTAGTACAATAGGCTACAGAGCTACAAATATATGTGTGAAGAATACAGAGAACATATTAAAGTAAGAAGGCAAAAATCAAACAGCACCCCTTTGCCCTTTCCCCAAAGCAGCAGCATGGCCCCAGGCCACCTACACAGCTGTCTGGTTGTGACTGGCCAAATCCAGCCTTCTTTAGCAAAAAAAACAGGCCTTACCCTGACTGAGGGTAGGCATCTGCCAAGACTGCGGGACCAGACCCCAAAACCTGGGAAATGAAACATAGCTCAATCAAAGGCAGTGGGGAAAAAAAAGTCACCTGGAAAGAGTTAGCCATTCAATGTGGCGGCAGGGGGGAAGGCATGCTGCTTTAATCTTTTTATAGTATAAAAATTTTGCGACTGAATTAAAGCCCTACTGTTTGGACTGGATGATGTTACGTAATTCTCAGAAATGAGAGCAGCTGGCCATGGTACAGATACCTCCTAGCAAGCCCTGCAGTGCACAGAACATCATTTACCAAGGCTGTAAAAAAATACATTTATTAAGGAGCTTGGGAGTGAAATTTGACATACTGTCTTGGCTTTTAGCTGTCTGGATTTCATTTACATCTCCTCTGTTTTATTTTCCACTAAAATAAATAAATAAATAAAGCTGTCTTTGCCCACTTTCCCTAATTGCTTTTCTGGCATGCCCGTGGGTGAATCCAGTGCAGGGAGCCCAGGGGTATTGATGTGAATATTGCTAACCTTGTAATGGTAATGTAGCTAACAAGCAAAGGCAAAATCCACATTCAGGAGAATGTGGAAAAAGGCAGACAAGCAATGGAAATTGGAAATCATCTGATTGTTGGAAATTTTCACTCTGAGGAAAACTGAGAACAAGAGAAGGTCCTGAGCCCACCAAAAAATGTGATTTTTACAAACATTTATTGCTATTTCCTGATCCTTCCTCTTGCCTTTCACCCACCTCTTCCTGCCAACTACACTACCAGCAGATTTGCCATTTCTTACTTGCCTTTGCCTCTTTTCTTCAGTTGTGAAACTGGGGAGAGGGGGAAGAGAGGGAGGGGGCAGAAAAATCATAATTGTGGGGTCTGTGTTCTGCCATTTAGATACAGGACAGATTTTGTTGCTCAAGCAGTTGCCAAAATGGACCCTGAGCTCATCCGGGTGTTCTTGCCCTGCTTTGCACAGGTGGATGGTGACACTGGCAGCACTTATGCAACCCTGACTTTCCCACAGCACTCAAGTCTGACAGCAATGCCAGTGTGTTGATCATCTACCCATAGATTATGTGGTTGAGAAATAGGTGATACTATTTTTTTAATACTGTTTCCCAAAGTGATTGAGAGCCCTTTGGAAAATATGTCCCTGGATCAGCCAATCAGCCATGCTCCAAAACCTGTTACAACCAGGAAAATCTGGCCCTTGTCCCAGGAAATGTCTCATTTAAAAATAAAATAATTTAATCCCTCCCCCTCCTGGTTTATTCCAGTAATACCGTCTACAACTACATACTTAAGGTACATAGCTAAACTTTAAATAAAATATTTGAAAGCATGCAAATGTAAGTATCTGAAATGTTAAAGAATGAAATCTGTAACTTCAGTTTTGAGGGTCATGAAAAAATGCACGATAGCACTGGGGATAGAAGGAATTTCAATTCTTCCACACTTTGGAAATCAGCTTAGTTCCTTATAGGCCAAATTTTATTTAGCCATACCCCCCTGCAGTACTTGCCACCCGAAACATGTGAATGTTTAGGAGCTGCTGCTCCCTGTATTTGGTGTTTTAGAATTTTAAGAATGGCCTGATGCTTTACCTTACGTATGGTGGCAGACAACTGCTTACCTAGCAGTGTGCTGGGCTACTAAAGCAAGTGCAGTGATCAGCGCTGATGGATGGACCCTGGGAAGAGGAATGCAGCTTTCTGACCTCCCCATAGGCACCATGCCAAGCATTAGTGAGCCAGCCATAGTGCTTGCTGTGGCTTTGCACCTTGCCTTTGCTACTGCCATTTTCAGTGTGCCTTCTTTCTTCCTGGCTGAAAGATCCTAGTGGATTTTGGGAAAGCAGCTAGTACAGAGGAGGATATATCAGCTAACTGGGTGCTGGAAATTTGTAACTTTGGTATTAATTTAATTGGGCAGGATCTGAGCAGCAGAGACAGAGAGCAGCATCAGGTGGGCAAGGGTCCCAGCAGCATACTGGGCAGCACAAGAGAAGCACTAAGGGCCATGTTCCAACCCTGGAAGCTAAAGTGCTGGCTTCAGCTGGAGCCATGTGAACATAACTGCTGCCAGAGGACAGGCCCCAAAGTTTAGTATTTCTCCAAATGAAGTATAAAAATAATTATGAGCTTAGCCTGCAAAACTTGGGTCTGAATTCACAACCATCTGGTGTTAATGGCCTGAACTGAAACTTCAGACAAAGGTTTCATTTTACTTATTATTCATGAGAAAAGTTTCTGGCCAGTGACTGCAGCTTTGCTTATTACTTCATACCTGCTGCCTTGCTGAGGGGTAAGGGGGTGCAGAAGCCTGATGCTGCTCTGCTTTGACTTTAGGCAGGTGGCACCGAGCAGAGATAGTGGAATTGCTTGAAGCACACAGAAGAATTAAGAAACTCAATATAATATTTCTCCTCTCACCATTTTCACTTAATTGACATTGAACTTGATCCTCCAAAAAGCCCCTGCCCAAGAGTTTATTGAAAGGCAAAAAGTTTTCCATGCTGAAGTTAACTCCTACTGCTACTTGTCTATGAGCAAAAGCTGTTTTTAGGCTCTTTGTCAAAACAAATCTCAGCTGCATACCGGTTCAGAACTGGGTGGAAGGACTACGTGGAAAGCATACGCTTTTTTTCAGTTCAGCTGAAATTTTGCAGACAAGGCATTCCCACCCCAAATAGTGGGGACACTATTAGAACACCTAGATGTTCTAATTCTGAACAGGCCAAACAGAAGATGTTGGCATGGTGAGGTATGTTGATAAACACATAGATAAGAGTGGCAAATAAGATCTCAGTCTTTTCTGACAACTCCAAGAGAAACTTCCAAGCTTATTAAAGTTTCTGATGGAGATTTTTAGACATTACTGTGTGGTCCAGAAGGTGTTACTCAATAAGCATGAGAAATTTGAGTAAGAAATGGCAGCGCTTTTGAGCCTGCTTCCGTACAGACATTCTGGTGTTTCCATTAAAAATTTTAGGTCAAAACTCAAATGTTCCAGGTGGGAAGTTTCTCTTCTCTGCTTTTCTCTATGTGGTCCAAGTACAGCAGCTTGTTAAGACCATCAGGCTTGTGTTTCTGGATCAAAATAAGATTTCAGCAAAAATACTTCAGTTGTTATTTCTGGCCAAAAGTCCTCCCCCTTCCCCCCACTGCAATCCCCCCAATCCATCCCCCCCGCAACAACAACAACAACAAAGACAGAAGGACGGTGGGTGAAGGGAATACTTATTTTGCTTATCTGCAAAGTGCCCAGTAAAAATATTTCCACAAAAGAAGCAAGAGCCATAGAAGTGAGAAGTCACTTTAAAAATCTACTTTTCCACTGCAATCTCATCTTCCTAAAGTTTTTGCCAGCCATTCTCTCATACCTTGATGCTTGATGTTAGACACTTTCCCCTCAGGGCAGCTTGCTGTTGCATGGAAAATGCCAGTGTTTGCAGCACTCAGTGGCAAGTCTTAATCACTGCAATCAGACTGAGATGTTTATCTGACCCTTAACCATCACGGCACATGTCCATACTGGCAGTCCTTAATGGTTCAGACAAAGTTTCACAGGTCAACCTGGGCAGGGCAGCATGGTAATTTGCTGCTTTTTTTGCTGCAAGCTGTTCCATCTGCATGCTACTGAAAAGTTTCCTCCTGGTTTTCTTGTACATTGCCTCCTCTGAGGCTTGGGACTTGACATAGAAATTTCCAGAGGTAAACTTTTAGTTTGTAAGGTGCAGAATGTAACCACACTAAATATTTTTTTTTCTCCTCCTCATCTGTCTCCCAAGAATGTCACTCACTGGGAAGCCTGTTCTATGCTGTACTTTTATTCATGGAGCTGTGACTTACATCAAGACCCACTACGGAGGGAGTACCCCCATGTCGACACCAGCCTCAGCTTTACATTGTCATTCAACTAGCACCTTTGTCCTCTCTTACAGTGTTTGCCAGAATCCTGAAGGCTCCCGAATCTCAAAACATCACCTTCGGGTCCATGGTGACATTGCGGTGCACAGCAACTGGCCTTCCAGTCCCTACTGTCACCTGGCTGGAAAATGGGAAAGCTGTAAGTGCCTCTTTTTCATGCTTTTGGCCCTGGAAGACTGCTATCATCTGGAAGGGCTGGTAGTCGGCACCTGTGGTTTCTACTCCTTCCTAACTTAGCACCTTGTTTTTCAAACTGGTTGAGTCCAGCTCATCTCTCTGCTGCATTTTTCTATGGAAAAACATTGTCCCCCTTATCCAGGGTGTTGTATGACTTCATTTGTTAGGATCTGAAAAGCCCAAGATAAGCTGTGCTTTTCACCCTTCCAACCATCCTTCAAGACAGAATTTCTAGGACTTCATTGTGTATTTCTGCAGCTATCTTTCCTTTCCTTTTTTAATAGTGTGGTAACAACAATGAGGCAAAAATGCATATTTTACAAAGTACCATAAACCACAGAGTTAGATAGAGCAAACTGTTTTGAGGTCAAATACCTGTGGAACCACATTATGCACAGCATATTTGAAGAAGATAATAGATCTGAAATTTTCTAGGCTGACATAGGTGATGTGAAATATGTCATGAATTTATCCCTGGGCAGAAACATGTTCTTAAGAAAGGCACACCTTCTTCAGTGGCAGGCACCAAGGGATGCAAATCTAGTGTCTCATAGGAAAGATTCTGTGGTCTTATAATCCTGACCACTTAATATGGGTGCTTGCTTTCAATTTGCCTGGCTTTCATGCCTGTGTGTAGGCTGTTGCAATGCCTTCATTTCTGTGAAGAGAGAACCTGCTTGATGCCTAGTATTGCCTGTATGGGAGTGAGTACGGAACCACAGTGATGGCAGCACTGCAGCCCAAGCCTGCCATAGCTTCTCTGCAGTCTTCATGTGTTAAGGTGACCATGTTTTATACTCTCTTTGATATTTTGACAGCTTTTTAAAGGATGTGAGCCCCAGGGCATGATTCTGCGGAGGCAGGTAGAGTGTCTGCTGAGTGCAGGCTGGCAATTTGCCTCTGCTCTTTCTCATGGACCTCCTGTCAGCCCTGAGTCCTTCTGAGCACAGGCTGATCCTGACCATGCCTGTGGACTTTCTGGTCCAGAGGACCAATACATCGCTTGGCTCTTACTTGAGGGGGCTATCACCATCCTGGTTTGTACCTCTTCTCTCCACAGATTAAAACACAATATTAAGACCCCATGGCTACTCTACAGGCTGTATGGCCTTCCTTGCCTCCTCTATATCTTATGGTGTCCTCCAGTCTGATTAGGGCTAATTTTCTATATTTCTTCAGTGTTGCTAGGCAGAGCAGAAAAGGGATGAGATCAGCCTCTGCTGAGACCCATGGGTGCTTGGTGGTTTCTGACAATATTTAGTTTGAGACAACTGCAGGTGTTTATTTAAGACTTCTTCCCCACTGGGAATGAAATCTTTTGCAGGAGTCTGAGGTACCTGGAAAGACCAATATATTTCCAGAGCACAGAGCTGTGCTCTGATGAGATCCCAATGAGCGGGTCCCACAGAGAGCTGAGGTACACGAGATGATGCTCAGCCCCTGCCTGGGCCACTTCCTGACTGGTCATATCTGCTCTGCCCCATTCCTGTCTGAAAGGCATAGCCCAGTCCCAGGATGGTAGTGCTCCTGATTGCCTCACTTCAAATATGGCAAGGAAACCTTAATGAAAGCCTGTCTCTGGGAGAGTCAGCAGGAAGCCAGTGGATGGGACACAGTGAATTTGAGGGTTGTTTCACAGCAAGGATGAGTCATTTGAAGACGCAGCATGCCTGTGGCATTATGGTTTCTGAACACCAACCTGTAATTGTCCCGGGGTTCAAAGAACAGTAATCTGCTGAGCTTACTGAGCTTCCCTGGAAGAGCAGGATGGAAACTCCTCTGTGCTGCAGCTGCCTGGTCTATTTAGAAACACAATTCATTTTTCTCCTGCTATGCACCATAGGCTATCATGGACCTTATAATGTAGTTTTCCACATATCCAGGAATAAATGAGCCAGGTGTGAAGATATGAAGATGTCTCTAATTTCCTGGTAGATGAGGTGATGTTTTAAAGGCTAAAAAGAGAACTCCTGGAAACAAAATCTCAGGAAATGTGTTTGAAAAGGCAAGGGAATCAATTAACACAAGGGCACATCTTGAAGTTTCCAGTAAAGGAAACAACAGATGGCCAATGTGGAAGTTCTAGGCACCACTGCCTGTGATTTTCCACTGTGCCTGGTGCATACTGCTTGTACTGCTTGCAGTTACTTGAGCAACCACTTCCTCCTGCATTCCTCCAAGCTGGAAGGAACAATCCCAGTTATCTGTGCTCAGCAGGCACAGTCCAGTGCTGCCATATGTGGTACACCTGAGGCCTGAGGAGCCAGCAGGGAGAGAAGACTGGATTAGCTGCTCACGGCAAGCAGCCACCTATCCCACCAAGATGCTGGAAGGCAGGAGTGGCCTATAGGAAATACCTCCTTCCCACTGAGAAGGTCCCTGCACCATTTCAGTGCTGAGTGGTTTCTGGAGAGAAAAGGATTCTAAAACTAAATTTGAGCAGCTCTGTGACAAAAGACATATCTGTGAAAAAATATCCCCTGGGGTCCCACCCTCTTGAACTGATTTCCTGTTATAAGGCCAAATATGAGGCCTGGTCCCCTCATTTCCACAGTGGCTGACATACCTGGTGCAGTACTTACAAATTGTGTTGGTCTGATTATTCAGTGATTTCTTCCCATGAACATTCTCTTACCACAAGTCCAAGCTGACTCTGAGAGAGTCAAAACAAATATATTCTTTTCAGCATTTTCTTTTCATAGAGAATCCAATGTCCTTACAAGACATGTTACAACACTGATGAGTTCCTTCTTGCTTTTTCAATTATTGCTGTCAATACCCATGGGTATTTCATTTCACTGAAAGATCTCATTGAAAGCACATTTTTACTGACCTGCAGGGACGTCAGATTGATATTTCTGTCTTAGTTACAGGGGTAGGTAGGGTGCTTTGCTGGGGTGAATCCAGGGTGACAATCTGCAATGTCCTTACAGTCAGGTCATACCTAGGGGGTCCACAGGCAACATACTTCACTTGAATTATGATTGATGCTTCTTATCAGTATGAAGGTTAGAACAGGCTATGCTCTCCTTCCTACTGCCTTTGCAAGATAGAGTCTGTATGTACCATGCTCTCCCACTTTAATGAATGCCATGTTGGCAGGAAAAACTTGATGGTAAACCAAGGCCAACTGGCCAAAATCAGCAGGCTTCAAGCTCATTTAACTGTGAATAACTGATCTGGGAAAAAAGCTGGTCAAAATCATCATATTTTCATGCCCTTTCATAATTCTAGTTGCAAGATAAGAAAATCTACTAGATATCTGCTGAAGTATTGGAGCCAGATCACTTTCTATACTCATGACTGCTTTGAGAGTATTGCAGTGGTTATACTAATCCAGAATCAATGACTTCCAAACTACTTTCTTCTCTTCCTCTGTGTTGTGGATGTTCACAAAGGAACATCCTGTGCTTTCCTTCGTAAGGTATGGAGAGGCAAAAAATCTACTACGAGAAGCCCTGCACTAATTAGCCAGCTCAATTACATAAACAAAACTGTGACTATGACCCTCTTGAACTGAAACGTAATTGAAAAAGTACTGCTAAAGTGTGAAATAGGAGAGATCTTTTAACATTTATTTCTGTGTACGAAATCACTAGCTATGAAGGTGCCAAAGCAACACCAGAAGCTTTAGGTCTCTGCCACTTTTGTCTCCTTGCCACATCTTCCTCTGCTAATTTAAATGGTTGGGACACAGTCTCTTAGATTTTTCCTTGGTTTGCCTGTTTGTGTCTTTGTTGGAAATATTGCTGAACTGGGCTTTCACTCTTTTAGGTTTCTGTGGGGTCGATAGCAGAAAGTGTCAAGGACAGAGTGGTTGATTCCAGACTGCAAGTGTATGTCACCCGACCTGGCCTGTTCACTTGTCTTGCCACAAACAAGCACAGCAAAACTTTTGGAGCCGCAAAAGCAGCAGCAACCATCAGCATTTCAGGTATGCATGGAAAGAAGAGGCCATTATTTTTTTTGCCGTTCCTGCTGGGGAAGAGGAAAGGGGTGTGGAATACTGTGGTGGAAGAGGGGAAGCCTTGGAGAGCTGATAATGTGTGGGGACCTAAATTTGAGTACAAGTACATCCTCCACCAGGCTATTTCCTCATATACTCTTACACTTCGGAGACGGGCATAGCTGTCATTTCCTGAATGTTTGATGCTGTCTTGTACTTTGTGTCCCAGAAGCACACTTGGTAAGTTCATCCATGTGGAGGAAGTCGTGGCCATGACCCAGTGCTGGTATCATCTAACAGCAAAGTGAAAATAGCTTCAAGCAGTTCAGCTTCACAAGGGGCTGGCATCCAGAAAGCAGGGTGGTTGCTGTCAGAGTAGTACCCTGCCTTGCCTGAAGTTATCTCCTCCCTCAGAGATGTCTCCCAAATGAGAAAATGAATTTCCAAACTGGAAAAATTCCTCTGTCAGCTGACTAACAGCATTTGTCATACAGAGAAAAAGGTGGTAGCTTGTCCCATCCCTCTTTGGACATGCAAGGGAATTTAGTTAGAGGAAAGAGGAATCACACTGGACATGGGATGTTAGCCCTGGTTCTGCTTTTAATGAGGCAGGTACTTGTTTATCTTTCTGTGCCTTAGCTTCTGCTTTCTTGAGAAAATAATCATGCCTTTTCTTACACTGGGCATTGAAACCTACCAGTAACCTCTGCTCCATAATGTATTCAGCACTTGTTGCTTTTAGTTCTGCTTTCTGCTTTTAGCCCTGCTTTCTGCTTTTAGCCCAGGCAAGTGTGTGTCCTACAAATGCAGTGGGGCGGACAAGTGCTTGGGGCTGGTGGAAGTTGTACTCCTCCAGGCTGCACTGCTCAGCAGGAGGAGAACCACCCCCCAGACCCCCCAAGGACTCTGCCTTGGCCTTGCCCCAGCTCACAGGGCACAAAGGGCAGAGGTACCCTGGCCCTTGGCTGGTGCCCAGTGCCTCCTCCCTGTGCTGGCACTGCCCAGCTCCCTGAGGCATGGCAAGCCAGGGCCACTGCTGTGTGCCAGTGCTGCATCTCCAGCCCTGGCTTCTCCTACTTGTCACAGCTGCTGCCTGAAGTAATGGATATTCATGTGACTTAAACAAAGAATGCTACCTGCTGGTTACATGGGACCCAAAGGATCAGGATAAAAGTGTGGATTTATGGTGCAAGAGTCCACTTCAGCTAGCACTGCCATGAATAATCCACTTCCTCCTCCTCATTCTTTCTCACTTTACAATGTTTGGTGTTGGCCAACTTTTCTTCCCCACAAAAAGATACAAACAAAGGAACAGAATTTAGGCGCATTTTTTTCCATACACTTTACAGTTGTCAGACACTTTTCCTAGCATGAAAATCTTGACTTATGCATCTCAGAGGGAGCAACGGAGTGTCACTGATGTCTTTTCCATTTCTTCTTTCTCTTGGCTCATCACAATTCCTGGATCTGGTGCCTCTTCGCAGAATGGAGGTAAGAATGACTTTCTGTGGTTTTGTGGAGGCTCTTTCTGGGCCAGGGAGAAGAAGAATGATGAACCAAGGGGGTTTGGTTAATTTGGCTTAAATGAAGGGGTAGGGTTTCTGCATTCCAGCTGCGCAGATGAGGTTCACCCATAGGGATCACTGAGCTCCTTTACAGAGGCATAATTGGAGACTAAGCTTGGATGGTTAACAATGGTTTTGTGTCAAGCCAGCAGTAAGGGTGTTTGAAATATGGTAGTGGGGAGAATATTCTGAAGGAACTTCTATTTGGTTACAGATCCACAGTTTCCCTTGACCTTATAAATTTTCATGGCAAAGCTTAAACACAAGGTAAACTCCTACCTGTTCACAGTTATTAAATGTAATTTGGTTTGGCGCTCACCAGATTAGGGCAAGAGAAGATTATATTTATTCCAAGCAGAGTAATGGATGAATAAAGCCACTTACATGTGATAAGAAATGAACTTCTGCTTAGTAATTTTTGCAGGACTGAACAATTTAGCTGGCTTTTTGTCTTTAGAATCCTTCCATGTTTCTACATGCTGCACTGGCTGATCAGTCTGGAAGGAAAATGAGAATGTTAGCCTGGGAGATGGGCTGGGAGCTTCTGGCCACCACAGAAAACAGCAAATGGGAAAGCCTGAGCAAATGGTTTTTCCACTTTGCTGACACAGACTCCCTGCAAAGGCTATTGCCTCCTTCACAAGAGCTTGCAAGATTGATTCAGGAAGTTTGTAAGTGATTAAGTGACCACACAATGATGATGGCAGACTTAGCCTTACACCTGCACCCATGCAGGTATGACAGGCACTGTTAGCTCTTCTCGGTCTGCCACTGCAGGCCCCTGAAGTCAGCAGCACAGCTGCCCCATGCACACTTGTCCCCTGGTTTTGCCCCTGGGGCACAAGAAAGATGCAATTTTCAGATTAAGCACAATGGGAGCCATCAGGGAAATGTAAATAACATGACCCGTGCAATGTCAAGAGCAGCTCTAGCAGGGTGCTGGGATCATTGCATTGCTTTGGGGAAACCTGCTGTGTGCTGGGGAGATGTCATGGGCTGTGAGGCTAGTGCAGTGTGCTGGGGGACTCCTGTGGCACACGGAAGTGTGTCCACGGAGCCTGGAATGATGCAGTGTCAGAGCATCACTGCCATTTTGGTAAACCTCCAGTGTTGGTGCCTTCCTGTATTTTTTATCCAATGCAACGCAGAAAAAAATTAAAGAAAAAATTCATATAGATCCCAAAATAGAGCAGCTAAAATAGGGCCAGGGATTGTCATCTGCAGAAAACAGCATCTGAAGAACAGAAATGTGAGCATCCTCTGTAATCCCTTGTCCACGTACCTCCAGCTTTCTGAAAAAAAAAAAAAAAAAAACCAGCAAGAAACCCCAGAGCTAACAATGGGTGATTATTTGGACAGGGGAAAGAAATAAAAGGCAAAGATACAAATAGCTCTGTTGACTGCTCCAAATGGTTGGCATGTTGTGAATTGAACTCTCTGACCCCAGTTACACTGACCGAATGGCAGTGGGGACAGCTGCACCCAGCCCTCCCCTCTTCCCTGATTTGGCCATGTCCCACACACAGGAGTCTATTTTCACAGCTTTGCCTCCCATACCCTGGGCACTGCATCCCACTGGCTGCCTAGGCAGAGGGCACCTCCTCACCTGCAGACCTTGCATGGTTGGGTGACCATGGGAGCTACTGGAAGCACGGCTGACCTGTGCATTCCCCTCACCCTGCTGCTTACTTTTGATGGCCATGGGGAGAAAGAGGGGAAGAGAGAGGGGAGAGATCTCCTTCTAGTTGCAAATAACATGGGAAAGATAAATAAATGGCCCTCAAAGAAGATGACCCTACTGTGATTTTTACTGCTTCTGCATAGCTCTGTTTTCATGCCATGTCACAGGACTTAGCAAAATGGGAGATGTGGTGAAGAGAGAAAATGCACCTTGCAGAGAAATACTGGGAAGGAAAACACAGAGATTTGTGCCTTCCTCGTCTCTGAGTCCCCCAGCTAAAGGCGTGGAAGAGGGGCAGGGTCAGGAGTGGTGCAGGAGCTGTGGAAGGGCAGGCAGGAGCTTGGTCTGACCTTATGAAAAATTCCCTGGCACATGATGGGTTGAACTTACCTGGCTCCTGCTCATCAAGTCTATCTTAAATTAAGCTGTAACTCTTGTTAGACAGCAGAGTGAAAAATCCTGAGTTATCACAGGACTGCAAGCAAGCAGCATGGCTGATCCCTACTGCAGGGAAGCAGGAAAGTAAAATATTTTCCCATTAGAGGCCAGGGACAGGGTGAGGGGCCATGCTAAGTCATGGTTCTGTGTGATTGCTCAGTCTTCAGTCAACTTGTATCTTTAACAACACTTCGTCAGAGCCTCATCCCTGGAGCTCATTTGGGCTGGCACCAGGGTACCCTGCAGAATTTTCATTCTTGCATTATATTAGCTGGTTTTAGTGGTACAAACATCTATCACCTTCTCTGCCCTCTACTAGCCTTACACATGCCACTTTATTCAGAAACAGGGCCATTGTGCTCATGCAGCTGTTTATATCTGTGAGCTTACTGTGCTTGTGTGCTCTTGTCCTCGACAGCAAGCTGTACAAGGGTGATGCAGGCTACTGCAGCACATACAGAGGTGAGGTGTGTAGTGCTATCTTGGCGAAGAATGCTCTTGTTTTCTTCAACTCCTCGTATGCTGACCCAGAGGAGACCCAAGAGCTGCTTGTGCACACTGCCTGGACTGAACTGAAAATGGTGAGTTCATTCTGCCAACCGGCTGCTGAGTCTCTGCTGTGTAACTACATCTTCCAGGAGTGCAATCCCTCGGGAGCTGGGCCAGCTCCAAAACCAGTGTGCAGGTAAATGGAGAAAAACATGCTCATACTTCACTTTCATTTCGTGGGGATGTGTATGCAGCAGGGGAGTGGTGAGGGACTGTCCAGGCTTGCTTGCAGTAGCAAGTGAAGCTGAGTGAAGCTGAGCCCTCTGGGTTTGCACAGGTTTTCCCTTTGCTCTCTCCTCTGTACCCACAGACTGATTCAGCTCTCACTGTGCTCATTGCTAAGGTGTGGTCTGAATTTGAAGTACAGACCTCTACATTATATCAGGTGTTTGGAGGACTGTGTTGAAAAGAAGTATCAATTTGAATTACATATGTAGTTTCAATAATTAACATATTGTTTTCTGTTACTGTTATCTTGCTAGGCCAGTATCTATATTTTTATTACTATAAAGACTAATTTCTTCTTTCGAATTTTGACTAAATGCAGCTCCAGAAGATGCAACAAATCTGGCCAAGGCAATATACCAATCATTTAGCACTTCCTGCTATGACAAAAATATGACAAAAATTATGAGACCAGAGACATTGCCTGTGTAATTGTACCTGATAAACCAAAATTAAAATGTGGTTATTGTACCCTTCTGTATACAGAGAAATGTGCATTGAAATTGGGCTGACAGGGACCCTGAGGAGTCCAAAGCATCTCTTACTATAGCTAATCTACTGTTGACAGGTATTTGTAAACACATCACAGTGACAGGCACTTCTCCCTCCCTATGCAACGTCCCAAAAAGCCCTTGCCTCCTTGTTCCTTGTCCTCCCACCACGGTCATAGAGTTTCTTTCTTTCCTCTTTGCAGAGAAATTTTACATCTTTCCCAGATTCTCTGACTAGAATAAAACAGGTTTTCCCAAGCCCTGCACATAGCTTTTGCTCTTCTGCCCAGTCCACATTTGGTTATTTTTAAATCTAACAGAATCATGATTGCTTGGTGTGCTTTGCAGAGGACAGTCCAACACACACATATCAGGGTGAAGCTTTCTTTTCTCTGTCATATTCAGCCCCTAAAAAACTAGTCATTACCTACTTCACATCTGGGCAACTGACATCCTTGCCTAAAGTACACTGCTTTGTCTTGTCTTCCTTGAGACACATTCAAAAATACTATTCAGATCTGTGTTTACTGGAAGAGAAGCCCCAACTCTAGTGTCCCAAATAAAATACAAACCTTTTCTACAGATATGTCAAGCACACTGCTTGCTGGACTTGGGCCAGATGTCTAATGGGAATGATTTCTCCAGTTACATAGGGGCTTTTTAAGACAATCAGCAACATGTTTTTGTAATTGGGACCTTTTGTAATTGGGACCTTTTTTGTTGTTTCTCCCATAATATATCTAAAACAAAGGCACAGAGGAAAATTCCACTCTACATATTGACCACACATTTAGCTTTCTATTTGGTACCTATGCTGCCTGGTATTCTACCATTGACACAGGGGTGGCATATATCCTACAAAACAAGATTATGTGCAAGTATCCAGAGATAATCATGCAGCCAAGTAGTACCATTTGCTTTTTGCTGGCAGGCTCCTCCCTACCACTTCAACATTCTGCTCTTTGTCATTGTGCCCTTAAATACATGATTGCTCTGCCTTTTTTCAAGATCTGTGACAGTATTTATATCTCAGCCACACATGCACAGCATATTAGTCAGCTAAGGGTTTTGCACATTGCTCTGCAAGGTATTTCAGTGACATCTTGGCCTTGCTTCATTTACCCCTGCCCAGGAGTGGCCCTGCAGGACCAGAATTCGCAGTGATTTGACTGAAGACCTGTACTTCTGGGGCACTTCTAAAGTCAGAATTATATAAACTACCATAAATATGCATTTGAGTTTGATGCACCTGAGGTAACAGTTACAACATTTGCAAATAAGTCTAAATGTTAATGGGCTTGCCTGGAACCACTTTTCTTCAAATCAATGAGTCAATGTTGGTTTCTATTAATTATTCCTCCCTCCTTCCACCCTGATTTTAATGCAGCTCTCCTAATAAGAAAAGTTCTGGAATAGCATCCTTCTGAATTCCTGTCCTCAGAGAGCATCAGCTGGACAGCAGTTCTTCTGGAGCCCAATACTCCTTTTGATAACTCAGACATCCAATATATACTTCTTAATGGCTGAGAGAGGTCTGGGGGCTGTTGAACACATCTCGCATGGTCTTGGTTACTTTGCAATTCTCTTAACTTCTTTTTACTGTCAACTTTAAAGCTTTCTACAGAAGCTGGCTAGACTACACAAGTTTTCAGCTGAAATACTGCATGAGTAAGAACTTAACTCTCTCAGCTGTGGGAGAGCTCATCCAGTTTTTCATGGACATACTGCCCTCAACGTATGTCCATGTATTTTTATCTTAGTTTTTATTTTCTGCACCAATTTTTCTCTTTCCATGTTGTTTTTTTTAATGTCCATTTGGTTTGGAAGCTAGCTGGCAAGAATAAAAACTGACAGGCTGAGTAAAGCTTTTATAAACATAGTAAGGGTGTAAAACAAGATTAAATGAAACAGAAGAAAACCACATGGGAAAAGTTCACTCAGTGTACATTTAGATGCAAATTGATTAAAATGAGAGTTCTAAAGGAAAAGTGATATCTCATAATTCTTGATTACATCTGCCTCTTATTGGTGGCTGCTATTGCAATAGCAGAAGTACCCCCAGTTTCTGTTTCAATGAGTGCTGATAGGAAGCGATCAGGCTGTAGGGAACAGTCTTGTGTGGGAGAAAGTCTCTCTTTGTTTGGGTCTGTGTGTCCCCACCTCCCCTTACATAGTCTCTTGTGGTCCCTAGAAACACCACTGGCACACTTGCTGTCTTCTACCATTACTATTCTTTGTCCATCTGTCATTTACATGACATAACATTTCTAATTATAACCTGAAGTAATCTTTGCCTGTGACCTCAGCAAACCCTCCGTGCACAGCGTTGGGTGCTACAACAACGGTATGAACCCAGCTAGAAACGATTGACCACCCCTCCCTCTGGCTGCTTTACCATTCTTACAGGGTGCAGACAACCTTCCTTTAACCCTGGAGCAGACAGCATTTCAGAACAATGGTCTTCTGTATTTTGCAATTGAACATTGAATAAAGGGCTTATTTGAGGATGCTCAGGATCCAGCAATGAACAGAGCTAATTCAAATCATATCTCCCAAGTCTCAGCCAGTGCTTCAAGTACAAGTTTTTCTCATTTCCCTATCTAAGTATTTCTTTTCCCTTTTAAGTATTTCTTTACTTCAGACTTCACAAAGTCATTCCTGCTCCACATGTTGTTAAACACAAAAAAGATAAATTTGCCATCTGGCTGCATTCTGACTTCCATGGAAGGGAGGAAGGAATAAACCAGGACTAGCTAAAACCAAGCACAGAGTATCTGGGCATTGATGACTTCAGCCTGCTGAATTGAGGGGCAACCATTACTGTTGCAGAAAAGCTGTTGCACCAGTAGATTTCTCAATGACCTCCATCCTTCAGGTGCTTTAGAGGGTTTGCAGTGTTGTTAGCCATTGCTGAAACTCATGACCCTCTGCTCTTGTCAAAACCATTGTATAATTAAGGAGGTTGCCTCAACCCACCAGGTGGTGAATTTAGCTAAATCCTTCACCACAGACCCCAGAAGTACATTTCTCTTTCTGCATCATTGTGTGATGGCTGTAAAAGTTGTGGATGTGGGAAAGACTTCAGCTGAGCTGTGCAAAAGAAATCTCTGTACATGACCTCAAAGCTGACTTTGTAACCCAGCCTCTCAAGAATGGCTACATAAATAAGCAAATCACTGATAAATTGGCCAATATAACAATTCCACGAACTTCCCAGTATGGTGTGTTTTCTTTTTCTTTTCCTTTTTTTTTACTAGTGCAGGTATATCTACCTTGCCTTTCTCCACAAACAGTTTCTCATATAAGGCCCATTTAAAAATCCAAAGCACTTCTTGCCAATGAATGTTTCCCATTGTTATGGAGGTAGCACATTAGGTAGGAGACAGGTCACATTTTTACCAGGCAATCTGCAGATATCTACAGAGAAAAAAATGGATTTAAAGTTGCCTGTAGAGACAATTAAAAATTTCTGGTTTTTTTTTTTTTATTCAGTGAGAATAAAAGTATATGCAAATATTTAATATAAGAAGGTTAAGAATTGCATCTCACCTTTTGTTTTTAGTAGATGACACTTCTACTGTACAATTTACAGAAGTCAAGTGAGATTTTTAGGATATTCTTAAAAATTGCAATTCTAGAAATGAGAGGGAGATTATTTACAAGAGCATGTAGTGACAGGACAAGGGGAAATGTCTTCAAACTGAAAGAAGTTTAGATTAGATAATAGGAAGAAATTATTTACTGTGAGGGCAGTGAAACATTGGCACAGGTAGCCCAGGGAAGCTATGTATGCCTCATCCCTGGAAGTGTCCAAGGCCAGGTTGGATGGAGCTTTGAGCAACCTGGTCCAGTGGAAGATGCCCCTGTTCATGGCAGGGAGTTGGAAATAGATGATCTTTGATGTCTCTTCCAACACAAACCATTCCACGGTTCTATGAAATTTATTAGAAGAAGTAAAAAAAATCTGTAGAAAAAGATAGGAATGAATTCCTCATAGCTTGGTGGTGTTGTGTTTTGAGCATTACTCTGCTTCATTAAAAATGTAGGTTTGTATGTTTCTTAAAGGAAGCTGTTGCATTTCATACAGTTTCTTTTATGGTTTATGAGCCAGACAGACCAGTTTAAAGAAGTATCACCCCATGAATGGATTTCTGTCAGCCTGATAACCCCTGCACATCACTGCTAAGTGCAGCCATTTTTTTTTCAAGCCATTGACAGCTGTATTTCACTGTTTTTTACAAAACAATGTAGAGAGAATTGCCTTGCTGTAAAGGATCTCTACTGCTTTAAGGAATGGCTCTCAATGGAGGAGAACTCCCAGAAGGGGATTTACAAGCCAGGGCTGATGCTGCTCACTCTTCCTGAATGCAACAGGTTGCCCAGCCTGCACCAGAATCCCAGCTCTTGTACCCGCATCCCTTTCTTTGGTAAGGTGGCACATGCTGCTGATTGTCCAGAGAACTGTGTTCTTGGTAAGGGAGAGGGGAAGGGTATGATCTATATTTATAACTAAAGTAAAAGCTGATGGTGGGTACTGTCCTGTCAGCACCTGTGCATGGAATTGTGACAGCTGCTTAGGTGTTTACCTCTCTTGTGCAACCGGGGTGTGGGAAAAATCCCTCAAGTAAATAAAGCCTGGATCTTTATTGAGAAGGTCATAACTATCTCAAAAAACCGTCTTAATGATAGCAAAATTGCCACTCAGGTGTCTTTGCAAAGAAACAAGGCGTTTAAGCACTGCTAGAAAGGGAACTTTTTCCTGTAACGTGTTTCTAAGTGAGCATCTGGTGATACTGCATCCTGGACAATCCCTCCTTACATCTTGTCTTGTTTTTTTTACAGATTTTAAGAAGGAGAACATAACCAGTAAGTAGACTGATCCAGACTCTATGTTTTTAGAGATGGACATGATATTCTTTATTGAAGCTGCCATTTGCACATATTTTTGTGTTTTCTGCTGGTCCTGGCTGGCTGAATTTAGATTATTACTGAGGAATATTGGGGTTTCCATATCCAAGGCATTGGGAAACACATTTCTAGCTCTTTGGAGGTTGAGGAGACCATGGGCTAGTAAATTTTTATGAGAGAGGCATGGTGGTTTTAGGTGGTACCCTTCCCTCCAGCTGTTTCCTTTTCTACCTACCCATTGCTTATCATTCCCCTCTACCCATATTTGTATTTCTGATTCTGAGGTCGTTCCAGCCTTCTATGTTAACAACATGGTTACCTATGACAGGCTGGCCTTGCAAGACCTTAAGCTCCCAGCACTCTCCTCAAATCACCACTGAAGTCTGGCTGTTTCTTGTACGAGCCTCCCACGACCAGTGGTGAGACCCAGACATCCCCTGCAGTGCTGCTTTGACTTCTGTCAGGCTCCCCCCTGCTGCGGGTTGTGGCTGAAGCACACACACCCAACTCTTCCACTCATGTACAATTGCAGTTTCAAGTTCAGGCACTGAACTTACCTCGATGGAAAAAGGAAGAATCTCTCTCTTGCCATGCATCTAAGCAGGTGAGGTTTGCAGGTTTCGCAGTGGCACACACCTTATGCATGGAGAGAGAGGCAAAGTAAAAAAAAAAAAAAAAAAGTAAATAAAGAATTTTGGGGAATATTTTTTCATGGAAAGATCTTGGCTTCACCTGACAACCCAAGATCTAGGGGCCTTGTGATGCAGACATGGAGACAAGGACTTCAGCACCCTCTGGGCCAGTGCCTACAGCCGGCAAGTGCAGCCATCCCAGCCCTGGTGGAGGAACCACTAGAGAGGGGTGTTGGCATATGGGAAGAGCATTTGTGGGATGGCTTCAGTCTCCCCACAGATGTTTCAGGACATATCCTCTGTCTCTTGTGTATTGTGTATGCATGAACTTTCCTGTTCAGCTTCCACACCATTTTCCCAGAGTGGCATTGCACAAATGTACTATATTCAGTCATGAACCAGGAAGATATGACAGTAACATTTTAGTAACATTGCCCCTCTTTTTTCTTTAGACCCACTGTTATGTGCACAAGGGTTTGTTGAACATGAACTGAACTGTTTTCTAGCTTGCTATCAGATCATTCATTAATGCCCAAGTGGACCAGCTATATTATTCATCTGTTCTCATAGTAGGAAGACAGTCTATGAAAACATCTGCATTTCCAGAGTATGAAGGATTCAGAGGTTCTTTCTTAGTGCTGCTCTTTCCCCGAAAGCTCTCCACATTCATCTTTTAAGGTGTCCCACTGACATTTATTTCAGATCTTTGCAGAAAACTTTTCCTTGTTTATTACTAACTGTGTCATGAGGTATGTTTCAGGCACTGCTTTCCTTGCCCTTGAATGTGAAACAAGTAAAATTCTCATCTCAGGTACACAAGTTCCAGGACAGTTTAACACCTCTGATTAAGATGTTACACCTCTGCAGAGCTACAGGTGCTGGTCATGTGGGGCTGCTATCTTATTGCAGATGAGAGTCATAAATAGTAGTTACATATCAGCAAAAGAAATCCACATTAGTGTATTTTACTTTGCATTTGTCATGGGTCTAAATGCTCCCATAAAGTCCATGATCATTCCTCTACTGAAGTGTTTAGCTGCCTCAGGGCTATATGAACTTGATTCCTTGTTTAAGCTCACTTGACTGCAGTGAACACTTTAAAGGCAGTGTGGCTACCTACACATGGATAGTGTCTACTACCTGTTGAAGCCTCAGTAAGCTAAGAGTCTATCACAATACATAACTGCAATCCTGAGTGCAATAAGAAAACATCAGATGGTCATTATGGTGTGTTGACACCTTGTACATGACAAAGAGTACAATCCACAAAGACAGAGAGCCTTGTGTCAAATTTGAGTCAACCCTTACACAAAGCTTTCAGGAAGATGAAAAGTATTTGCTTAAAAAATTCATTGTTTTAGAACACATCACATTTCTTCTTGTTCTCTTTTATTCCTGAGCTGCGAGATTATGAATATAACAGAAAATAAAATTATGACAGGAGAATTTGCTGGTTTGTTAATTTTTCTACCAAGTTTAACAATGCAGTGGATGCTAATATATGCCATCTATTACAATGCTAGCCTCCGTTCAGCTGAGTTTAGAGTTTGGCTACTATGTATTGAAATTTGTAAGGCTGCATCTCCTCTGCTGTCTTTCTGCTTCCTAGATTATGCCAGCATGCATTAAACTCTCCTATGGGGACAGGTGTATGTGAGGACATATGTCCTAGGAGGACATCAGCAAAATCCTGAGATTTTCTGTGGAATTTTTCTGCAGCTGGAAAAAACACTGTATATGCAGTGACTACACTATCTTCGTTATAAAGAACATTGTTTTATACTGATACCATTCCTTTGATCATAGTTCAGATCATAGTTCAGGATATTGTTTCCATGCATGCTGAATACCATAGGCTGTTTCCAAATAATCAAAGAGGATAATCACTGTACAGAAGCAGGAGGAGGGTAACTTTATGAATCCCAGCTCCCTGCTACCAACCTGAGGAAAATTAGTGTCTTCCTATTGGTGCCCCGGTAAGAATGCAGGCTGTGACTCATGGAACCAGTGTTTTGATTTGCTTTCTGTTTTGGTTTGGCTTGGGTGGGGTCAGCTTGGCTCTGCCCTGCACTTTCTTCATGATACACTGTGAAGTAGGTAGTTGCAGCTCAACCATCACAGGCATATGGCCTGTTTTCTCAATCTGAGAGAGTTGCAGTGCCCTCTTTGAAGTTTTATCAGATTTCTGCCTCTGTACTGAGTGCAAAATCCATTAGAGAGTAAACAGGAAGCTAAACAGTACCCTTCCTGTGTTGTCTAGTCCTTCTGTGTGCTTCACATCTGATGCTCTCAGATGGTCTCATGTAACAACATCAACTTTATTCTCTTGAGTCTCTGTTGCAGGACATGGTCTGAAATCCCTTGACCCCAGGTAGTTTTGGTTTTTTTTCTCTCCCAGGGACTTGCTACAGTGGCAATGGCCAGTTTTACCAGGGCACGACCAATGTCACAGCATCTGGAATTCCCTGCCAGAAGTGGAGTGATCAGGTGAGCATCAGTGCGAGATCCACCAAATGGAGAGCTGTGCTTGAGGTTTGCCTTTCCAAGGAGTTTCTCAGAGTCAGGCAGCCCAGTCTCAGTGAAAGTGATGAGTGGGGAACAAGTTGCCTTCATTCTTGAGCTCACTGGTGTTTTATAATCTCGTCATATTTCAATCTGCAAGTTCCCCTTACTGTGTCAAGATGTGTTCTCTGTCATTTCAGGTGATTGAAAGGCTGTTTCACCAAAGGCTCTGTCTTGCTTCAATCCTTTGGGGCTTTTTTCCCCCCATTTTGTTTTAATAATAAGAGCGTGGAAAATTATGCTGAAACACTAATACAATTTGCTTCCTCCCCCAAGGCTCCCCATTTGCACAGGAGGACTCCTCAGGTTTTCCCAGAGCTGTTTGATGCTGAGAATTACTGTCGCAATCCAGGAGGCGAGAACGAGCGTCCCTGGTGCTACACAAAGGATCCAGCTGTAACCTGGGAATACTGCAGTGTGTCTCCCTGTGGAGATGGTAGGCAACTGCACTTTATGACTTCTGCCACTGTTGTTGTTTTGTGGCCATGCAAGGTGTTTGCATCCTGAGTACACCAATCTGTTCTGTCTTTTGGATTCAGCTAGTTCTGGGTCTTATAGATTCATTCAGCATCTTTAATGAGAAGGTTTAATGTGCCCCATGAAGAGGGGAAAATGAAGACAGACGAGTCGAGCACCTTGTCCTAGGTTATATAAATGCCAAAGATGAAGTGAAATGTTCTCTGGTATTCTGAAAAATTGTTTAGTTTAGGGTGATTTTTTTTCAGCAATAACCCCCCTCCCCCGCCCCCCCCCCCAATTTAAACTAAAAATAAGCCAAAAAAAGATGGAAATATCTTTGTTTTTTGATTAAGAAGTGAAGCCTTCCTGTAACTTCCTGTTCAAAAACAGACAAATTTTTTAAAAATATTTCATCCAAGATTCCTGGTTTCTGGATTTCAGTGCTCAGAAATAAGACTGCATTTGTAAACTTCCTGCACAGGGAACAGAGGTTCTATGGACATAAGTGAACACAAGTAATTTTCAGTTTAACTGGCAATTAAGAAGAAGAAGAGTTTAAATTTCTTTCTGTTCTCAAACATTGCATGCAGAGAGCAGTATTTTCTAGAATGTCTCAGAAACTACTCCACAGGTAGTGATGTGATTTTTTCCCTAATAATTCAGCCAAGTGTGCTTTAAACTACTTTTCCACATTTGCCCCGTAAAGACACTGAGATGCAAACTCTTGGGGGTAAGAGGATATTTTGGGAAAGTATCACTCTGTACTTACTTGGTCTTACACTCCTCCCTTCAGATTCCTTTTAGGACACATGATACATTGTGGTTTACGTTGTGCACCATTGATCTTTCCCACTGCAGACATGACTATATTTGAATACTTTTGAGACTATCAGATGTGACCTCCCATTTGTAACTCTTCCAAATATTCTATACCAAAACTGTGTTCCCAGCTTAATGGGAACTATGTATTGGTCTTACCAGATCTTGGATTTACACATGTGGCAAGCACAAATGGCTTTTCCTTCCTGCAAACCAAGCTTCTCTAGAATGATCCTCTCATGTGGTCATAGGGCTGTATCTGTAATGTCAGTAATTCCCAGGGTGACAAGCTAGCTCTGTAAATTCCTCTTAGAGAAAGCTCTATAAACTAGCAGAAGCATAACCCTCTTATTTTATTTGCATTACAGCCTTGTTATCCCTGGGAACGAGAAAACCAAATGGAGAGACTCTAAATCTTCCCCCTCCTCCTCCATTTTCTCCTACATACTCCATGACTGTTATCATCTCAATCATCTCCAGCTTTGCTCTGGTCGTGATCTTTGGCATTATCACCCTGGTTTGCTGCCGTCATCGAAAACAGTGGAAAAACAAAAAAAGGTAAAGCTTGGAACTTAATTCAGTGTAAGAAATGCTGCTTTGGAAAAAGGGTTTTCTTGTTTCTCAGTTTGAGTGCTGCAAAGGGGACAGCAGCACCCCCTTTGCCTGTGAGAGCCCAGTGTAAATTCTGTTGAACTCCTGTGCCAGAGTAGAAGGTGGAGACTAGGGACATGGACACCTTGCTGCAAGGTTCCTTTGGTAGCCCTGCTGCACCTTCCTTTTCATTCTGAAATAAATAATCTCAGGAGGAGATGAAGCTAGTTATCTCCTGATTGAGGGCTGTGCACACGCTGATCAAAAATCTCTCCATTGTTTCAGAGAGTCTGAGACACCAACTCTCACCACTCTGCCCTCCGAACTGCTCCTGGACCGGCTGCACCCCAACCCAATGTACCAGCGCATGCCTCTTCTCCTCAATCCAAAATTGCTTAGCCTGGAGTATCCCAGAAACAATATTGAATATGTGAGAGATATTGGGGAGGGAGCATTTGGGAGAGTCTTCCAAGCCAGGTGAGCAGTCTCTTTGTGAGTCTCCTTTATCTGGAGGTACTTTTGAAAAATCAACACTGGAAACCATCCATCCATCCATCCATCCATCCATCCATCCATCCATCCATCCATCCATCCACTCAAATGCATGTGTACCAAATGGTACACAAGTCTTAGGTTTGAATAATTGTTTTTGTTGTCCAGAGCTATCTGTCAATATTTGTTAAACTTTTGCTGCAAATTACTCTTTTCTACTCCCTAGTAGGTGTAATGCCTTACACACATACTAAAGTCTGGTGTAAAAATTCAGCTAAATTTTGCCAAGAGTACTGCCTGTAACATGTGACCTACTGTGAAGTTCTTGCATCTCCCAATACAATACATCTCTCAATACAGTTCTTGCAGTATTTATGAATTATCAGTGTGTGGGGAGAATTAAAACACCGGTACTGGCCTGTGTAATTACCACAAAAGTCATTGTGTCATGCTACAGTTTAGTCCAAAACAAATTTCAATTTGATTCTGTGGCAAAACCAAACCAAAGCAAAAATCCCCTAAAAACCCTCCCTACACAGGCCGGGGGGAAAGGGGAGGGTCAAAGGGGGAATGGGCGTATGGTCTGGGGTGTCCCAGCCTTAATGGAAAATGCACACCCAAGATTTGTAGATGCTTGTGGGTGACAGGAATGGCAAAAGCCAGAGTATCTGCAAAAATGTGCAAATTTTTATTAGTAAATTACATGCCTTTCATGGAAATAGCTCTTTTATTGTCCCTGACCTCCTATATAAACACAGGGCAGTGGGTTTTGCATAAAGGGGTAGCGTGAAAAGGAAGGGAGACAAAAAGATGGATTAAAGACAGGAGGAGAGAAAGAAAGGAAGAAAGGAAAAAAGAGAGATCAGTGGTCCTGGCTCCACCATCAATTCAGCTGACAGAAAGTTTATGGTCCCAGGGCACATGTGAATCTAGGCTTTGTGGGGGTACCTTTCTATAGTAAAATTTCTGTACCCTGGGGCTAATTTCTTCACTTTCTATACAAAGTGAGTTCTCATAAGCAGCCCCTTCTTCCAAACCTTTCTGGAAATGGTCTGGGGGCTTTGGAGGTCTTAGGTACTCTTGATCCCTCCCCCCTTGCAGTCCATTCCCACCTACTTCTTAGCCTCATTCCTGCACCTCTGATGTACGGTATTGTGCTTATCTCCAGGAGCCAGAACAAGGACACTTGTCTCAGAAAAATGTTGCCCTACCTCTGCATGGCCCCTTTATTCTGCCATAGCAATCCTTGGTTGGCTCCATGGCTATCTGGATATCAGTATTTGAGTAACACACATAAATTCCCTTATCTCTAGACTTCTACAGTCCCCTTTAGTTCATTTCTCTTTTATTTTTGGAATTTGCAGCCACTGTTACCTGTTTTAAACCTAAGGTATTAGACAACCCAGTTCGGATAATATCATGGGAGGTGAGATTGTGCACTTTTACAAACGTGAAAAATCTTAAACTGACAAACCCAAAAATGAGGAGGATGGAAGTTACCTAGTTTTTCTTGACAGAATGCATAATTTCTGCAAGACAATCTGGACAATAATTGTTTCCTGCTAAAGTTCCATCCCCAAATTGCTAGAAGAAAGTATACAGGCTGCATAGTTCCCTGCTTAGTCAGGGCAGTAATCTTTGTCCTTTGCAGTTAACAAGGATGAGGCATGGCTGATTTTGTAGCTGTATGTAGAGTAGTGTATGATGACCTCACAAAAACCCAGGGAAGGATCAGAGTCCCACCATGGGCCAAGATCTGCTCGGTGAAATGCTTCTGTTGACTGCCAAAGCAAAGGACTATCCTTGCAAAAAGCAGTCACAATGCAGGTATTTGTAGTGTTTATAGTTAAGCTGTTGATGTACCTGCTAGAAAATGAATTCCGTACAGGTTGGACGTGTTACAGCTGGGAAACAATTTCAATAGCTGTGATGGATTTTTTTTTTTTTTCCTAATGAAAAGATAAATTATTTCTAATGGAAGAAAAGCAGGCATATTTTTCTTTATTACAGAGAGAACTAAAAATAACAAAATTCAAAGGGTGCACAGTGGGATTGTCACAGATGCTTAGCCTGTGATGAACTGTTAGCCTGGGTGGCCAAACGCATCTGAGCTTGAAACAAGAACACTGCTACAGAAACTGCACAACAGCTCTGCTTGGGGCACTGCACACCAGGGGTGAGGGAAGATGTTGTCCCAGCCTCAGTCAGTGTTCAGGGTGCCCTGAGTACATCACCTTCCTGCTCACGCTGCAGGAGTCTTCTCCTGTGTGCAAGCACGGCAGACATTCTTCTTCCCAAGTGCTGCTTTGGCCATCCTCTGGGAGTTTTAATACAATTTGAGTGCTGCACAGACCTTTCTGAGCTTAAAATGATTTTCATGGATATCAAGAAATACTTCTCAAAGGGCATTCAAATGTCACTAAAGTGTTAGTTAAGCAAGTGCCAAAGTGGTGTAAAGACCTTTTATGTGGATTTCATCCACTTCAGCACTGCAATTTCTTTCAGTTAAGCCTTTTTGTTATTGTCAATGAAAATGAGAAAAAAAGAGGTGCTTGCTCTCTGTGGCTCAGGGAAGGAGCCACAGAAATATTGCTTCTTAGGGACCTCCTTTTTTTCATTACCATCTCTATCAAAAATGCCTCCAAGGCATTATAATTCCTTATCATAAGATATGGACATTTCTGTGCGCTGCTGGCAGAGCAGTGCAGACCACTGATCCACTAGAACAAGCTGTGTGTCCATCCAGGTTACTGAAACTACAAAAACTCAAATTATTGCCTTCCCATCTCAGAAGGATAAAATGTACTTTCCTGCATGTGTTAAATGGACATCTCGAGCTAAGTTTAGCAATCCTCTTACTTCTCCTGCTCTCATGTTTCTTGCTCTTCTGTAAACACAGCTCCACACTCAGTGCCAGCGATGCCTTTGCCAGTTGGCTGCTGTGAGTCCTGATTCAGTGTTTACTCACTCCTGGGTCAAGCAACATGTTAGGACAGGAAGTGTCTAGCTATTATTTACTAGCTTCTCCTGAAAGGCTACTGTCTTCACTAGGAACAGCTTCACACTCAGAAGGATAAGGAAGTAACCATGCTTAAAACAAAATTCAGGACCAGGCTCAGGTCTGTCCCAGCTAGGTCTTTGTGATTTTTTCTGATTCTCCTCCTGGGAGGACCACGCTGGCCACGCAAGCCACCAGAGCACTAGCTCTGTGCAGTTCAGTGCAGACCAGCGTGCAAGCTTCCTTCAAGAGCTGGAGCTGTGTGGTCCAGGCTAAGCCTGAAGATCCGGATTGCCTAAAAGCCTGGATGTGGAGTCTTTGCTAGTAGGCCAGTATGGAGCTTTTGCTAGTATGCTGGTAGACGTACACTACAAATGCACAACTTGTTGTCCCTCCTTAGGGACAAGGCTGTTCCTAAGGTCAGAGTTTCTTGACAGAAGTCTCCTCATGTTCTCTCCATCTGCCAAGAGTATTTCTTTGACCTGCTGTCTCATATATAGCTGAAAAATAGTGTGGGTGTTAATTAATAAAAAAAGCCCCCAATTTTCCCTTCCCCCTCAAAAAGCAGCTCCTGCTGATTCAGAGCAGTCTCCTGCTCACATATTAACTTAACCAAAGAATAAGGTAAAAGTAGGCTCCCACCAGACTCGGTAGAGGTTAATTGCATTATTTAATCATCTAAGAGAAGCTACCCAACTGTTATGGTGAGCAAGATGGGGACAGGACACAGTCTCAAATACAGGTTCAGACTGCTCGTCATTTTTTTACATAGTTACTGTTTAGGAAAGAAAACCTGACTGGGAACTTACATCAGACATTCTCTAGATAGGCTCAGAATGAAATTCCTAACTGCGCTGCTGGTTAGTTCTTTGAACAGCATTCACTTAAATGCCAATTAATGCCTCTGGTGCACAAATCCATTGGTGGTGAAGCAGGCAAAGGACTGTTGCTGTCCACCCTGTGCACAGTGTACATTTCTCCTCAACTTTTAATTAATTGCAAGGGAGATTACCTAAGGTAATTTCTTTTGATGTTTCCCAGTTCTAGGAGAGAATTAACCTGTTTTTCAAAAAACACTACCCCTTCTGGCCCTCCACCTGAATTCTCCAGGTTCAGAGGCAGCAGTTTCCCACTGCTACCCTGCAGATGTTCCCTTACCATTTGTGCAAAGACTGTCTTTAGGGCATGAAAGGGGTCAAATTTGATAGCTGTCTGCCAAGACTTCAGACAGTCTCTGCCTCTGTGCCAGAGCAGTGTGAGTTTCGCAGGTCTGCTAAGAACTGTAGTGCATCACCATGAGCTACCAAAGGTGAAATTTCTGGTTTTTGCCTGAGGGCCAGTTAAAAGGCATTGTGCAGCTTAACCTCACTTGGTTACATTTAGCTTGGTTTACATTACAGCATGCAGTGAAATTGGGTGTTTGAGTGTACATCAGTTTTGGATAAGTTTCTGTTTCCAAAGCAGGCAGGACTGAGCTCTGTCCACCCCTGGTTTGGCACTGTGCTGGGTCTGCTAGTCGGAGATGAGTGGTAATCTCTGAGACTATTTGGAAGACATAAAGCTCTCCTATTTTTACTTTTAAATTCCCTATTACTTTGTTCAGGCTGCTGCTGCTGGCTCTAGTGCTGAGAATTGACAGCAGGTGGTAGGTGCTCATACTGCTCCCCTCCTACTAGACAGGGAACTGCTGCCAGCATGGGGGAAAAGATGGAAGACACTGTGCTGTAATTGAGGCAGTAGCAGACAAGTGTGGGGTCTGATCCTCTCCTCTGGCATCCCAGACCTCCTTGCCTGAGTGTCTCAGCTGTGATCTAGCCACCTCTGATTCCTATCTTGATGGACACCCTGTCATCCAGTGACATTTGACATTTACAGATCCAAGTGCAACTGTTGCAACTGCCATGTGTCTGAAGTAGAAGACAAGGAAGCTGGAAGTTTGCTTTGGAAATTGGAGTCTCCTCTAGGTGCTACTGAGCAATAAAATAACCTGGCATTCAAGCAGTGGGAGGCAGTCAGGCTGGTGTAGCAACATGAGACATAAATGGGCACCACTCCCCATGGGCTCTGGCTGGCTACCTGTACGGAATGTGTTTTAGCTGCAAGGCCCCTGGGAAGAATTTGTGCAGGAAACAAAATGTACGTCTGAGGTTTAGTGCATGTTTGAAGAGTGGAAAGTTACTCTTCTCCAGCAACAGCTACCCCAAAATCTTTGGCAAGCCCATCTAATTAAACTTGTTGAGGCTGCAGGGACATGTGGATAAGAAAACAAGTTTGTTACTCTAAGTCAGGGTTCTGTTTCCTAAGGATTTGTGCCGATAAACTTTAGTTGAAGATTTATAAGTGTCAAAACATGTGTATTTACACATTAACTTGTTCTTCAGACAAGGCACATGTTTGCTTTGTCCCTTCTGTCCTGTCAAGTGTTTTCGCAAATCTTGAATGAATATAAATTGCTTTCTAGACCTCAGCTACACACATTAAATCCAGCTGAAATTAGCAAATGGTTTTATAACTTGTTAAAGGTACACACACATGCCACACACAGATACACAGAGAGCAGTAACAAAAGGCTATTTTCTTTACAAAACCAAGGGAATACATTTCCTGTAATTGTTACTTTCACTCTGTCAGCAGCCAGATATACCAAAGTCACCACTGTGCCAGGTATGGGGAAGGAGGCTCTTTCATAAATTTCATTAAAAATAGGCTTATTTTTAACTGTTACACCCAAAAAAAGGGAATTATTTGGACTGAAGAATCTATCCTGTCCCCCATTATGTTTATGATGTGATCTCCAGCCTAGGGAGCAGTTGCTTCTTACTAACCTGTTACTCATTTATGTCTTTACCTGACATGGTGATGAGTCTGTAAGCAGCAAGACCACTGATCAAAAAAAACTATATTGAATTTAGTCCTACCTGTACCTGAACCAAATTAAACACCTCTATAATATGCAATGCATATTGCAGTCCCAAGAGATGAAACTGGGCTTTCCTTCTGTTGGTTCTGGGCCTCCCACTTTTTTTTTTTTGGTCAGCCTCTCCTTTTGCATCAGAAACAGAACCTATATTCAGTGTGCATGTATTCATCACTGATGATTTCCTCTCTTACCTCTTCTCCTTGCAGGGCTCCAGGGCTGCTGCCATATGAACCTTTCACCATGGTAGCAGTGAAAATGCTGAAGGAGGAAGCATCTGCAGATATGCAGGCTGATTTTCAGAGGGAAGCAGCTCTCATGGCAGAGTTTGACAATCCAAATATTGTCAAGCTTTTAGGTATCTCAGTGAGGCATCCTGTTGCCTTAACAAGATGGTGCATCACATCAAAGCCTCCTCATGCTGCACTGAGTATACTGCTAGCCATCTTGCTGCCTAACTCTGTTTCCAGTCTAATAACATTGACCCAGATGTCTTACAGGGAAGATGTGAACTTCCTGGCGCTGTGATTTATTTTGTGGGTACTGAAAAGAAATAGCACAAGTCTTGTTAGTTTTATAGGTCCCACTTACTATTGTGGTGTCTGAACACTTAATAACACTTAAAAAACCCAAAATTAAATGAACAAAAAAAGCCAGCCACAAAAACAGTCTCTTCCTTTCCTTCCATTCTCATCTGAAAGGACTTCCATCCATCCTTCTTTGAATGGATTTTTTGGATTTGGTTGGATTTTTTTGGAAAGTCTTGATGCTGAAGCTTGGCTAATAAGGCACTTTATGAGAAAAAAGCTTCTGACAAAAATACATTCTTTTAGAAGAATGTCTTTGTTTATTTGTTTGGTTGTTTTTTTTTTTTTTTTTTTTTTCTGAAGTAGATGCTGCTGGCCACCTTTATCTGGCAATCCTTCTCTAAGTTGTTGTATGCAGATCTGATTCTCATGAAGAGGGGCATCTGAGATCTTAATTTATTTCAGTAGGAAGCTCCAGAACATTTTGAAATGGATAAACCACAGTTTTGGGAAAGCTGGGTTGATACAGGTACTTTGGCTACAGAAAAGAAAAGCAGGAAATGCATTAAACTGGATGAAACTTTGTGTTTATTGTTAACACATTTTAGGCCAGAAAAGAACAAAGGTACAGGCACAAACTACTATCACATCATGGGGCTGTGGAGAAACAGCCACATTGTTGAAAACAGCTTTGATGATAAATCTCTCACATACACTTGTTGTGCTTGTCAGATCCTGATGTCATCAGATTGGAAACAGCCATTTGTTTTTCCTCAAAGATTCAAATACTAGGTCAACAATCAGAATTTCAGATTTCACAAAAAGTTGCATCATCAGTTGCTAAAGGATGACCCTAAGATAGCAAAACACATATATTTTAAATGTTGGCTTTTGCTAGTTAGCAGTTTAATGATAGGTGCACAAATATTACTCTATCACTGTATGATCAGAAAGGCTCATGGAAGTGTGGTTAATGCTGGCCCATCAATAAAGGTGGTAAAGTGCCAAGCATGTGCCCTTCAGTGGGACTGCATTCTACATCTAACAGACAGGCCAAATGTCTCCTTTCAGCTGTCTGCTTTTGATTTGTCTTTCTTTAATTTTGAATATCTGTCATGCCAAAAGTAATTCCTTAACCAACTTTTTTTTTTTTTTTGCATTTATTGTTTAAAAAAAATAAAAATCCATAAGGGTGGGAGTTTCCTTGCAAGTCAAGAGTTCCACTGAACCCTTGAACATGCCCCATCTGAATACTTTTGATGTCTTCCTGCATATGTGTCCTCTCTACAACAATATTGTTGTAATAATACAACAATCACAAGAAATAAAAGAATTAAAAAATAACTTGATCTGAACTTTAAAGATTACTTCCTGAAAGTCCTTGTTGTTGCACTTGGGAAGAGGCAATACTTTAGTTAATGCTAGCTTAATCAAGATTGACTCTTCATTAAACGTAGCCCCAAAACTCTGTGTTTTACCTGCGATCTCGAAACAAATTTTGCATGCAGGCATGTGCATGACTTGTTAGCACCACCCACGGAGCTCAGCATCACGTTCCTGATGAAGGAGCTTGAAAAAAATGATGGATGCATGCGAAGTAGATGGTATTTGCATGGTCACCTGTGTCTCTGCATTGTTGAAAGCCTTCCTTTTGTGTAAGCATTTTTGTGCTCTTTGGCTTTTGCACAGCAGAACTCTCTTTGCTACACCAATGACCTGTGTGGTCTGTCCTCTCCCAGGCGTGTGTGCAGTTGGGAAGCCGATGTGCCTGCTGTTCGAGTACATGGCCTATGGGGACCTGAACGAGTACCTGCGTGACCGCTCGCCCCGCAACCTCTGCAGCCTGGCGCAGGGCAGCCTGGACACGCGGCTCCGCCTCCCGAACCCGCTGGCGCTGTGCTGCACCAGCCAGCTCTGCATTGCCAAGCAGGTTGCTGCTGGCATGGCATACCTCTCCGAGCGCAAGTTTGTCCACCGGGATTTGGCCACCAGAAACTGCCTGGTGGGGGAGAACATGGTGGTGAAAATTGCAGATTTCGGTCTCTCAAGGAATATGTATTCAGCTGACTATTACAAAGCAAATGAGAACGATGCCATCCCCATCCGCTGGATGCCCCCTGAGTCCATTTTCTACAACCGCTACACCACAGAGTCTGATGTGTGGGCCTATGGGGTGGTGCTGTGGGAGATCTTCTCCTATGGCATGCAGCCTTACTATGGGATGGCTCATGAAGAGGTCATCTACTATGTGAGGGATGGGAATGTCCTCTCCTGCCCAGACAATTGTCCTCTGGAGCTCTACAACCTAATGCGCCTCTGCTGGAGCAAGTTGCCTGCTGACCGTCCAGGCTTTGCCAGCATCCACCGCATCTTGGAGCGCATGTACGAGAGGGCTGTGGCCAACATGTCTGTCTGAGGGATACAGTTCCTTCCTTGTCTCCTGTGTCCGCCTATTTAGACTGACTTGGACTAGCCCATGAGCTCCTGAGTGATGGTGGCTTCACACAATGTCCCACTCAGGGAGAAGATACAACTCGTTCCACTGCCAAGCAAGAAATATAGACTGTACCCCTTTATGCGACTCCTTGAGCGGGACTGTACCTCCCAAACAACAGGACTGACCTTTAGCCACCAAGACAAGACTCCTCAGGTTGGTGAGGGTGCTGGTCATGCTAACTCAGTTCTTATATTTGGCATTTCCAGGAGCACAGAGTTGCTCAGGGAAGGTAAACTAATGTTTCTTCCTAAGCACTGTTCCTTTCCTTCTGAACAGATCCCATCATGCCCTTCTGCATTTACACTCTTGGCTTTTACCTTTTTTTCCCCTTTCTCTTACATTTTCTAGTATTATTTAAAACAAAAGGTTGCAGAGTTCAATCTTCTTTTGGGGATACCATTTATTGTGGTTTTTTTGCGTATTGTTTACTATTTTGTTTTTGCATCCTCAGTCCTTTTTGCAGAAAAAGGATGTTTCTGAAGCCAGAGGCCACTTTCATCTTCCTTTTAACTTCCACTCTCTCTCATTACAATAACACTGACAGAGTGAAAACAGGAGCCTGCTGGACCACTGGCAGCCACCTGCATCTTCTGTTACAGAGACAGGCAAACTCCTGTCAAGCACGGCACTTTCCATTCTCCAGTGTGAGAAATCCAGAGTCACGTTCACTTGATGTTTGTTAAAGTCTCATCTAAAACCTTTCCTTCAGCATTGCAGCACATCTTACCTACCTTCCCTTGAAGCAGCAAAGCCATTTGGTGCTGTCAGAGAAATTTATCCCAAAGGTCTGGTGCTGCACCTCATAGGCATCCAAGGTGTATTTATTTGCCACTGCCTGATCCTCACAATGCTGAAGCAGGAAGAAATGCATCCCCTCTTGCAGAAGCGTGGCAGGTTGTATTAATTGCTTCTTTCCTTTTTCTTTACAATCTTGGCCTGCTGTTTCTGGTTTCCTTTCCTGACAGACTCTGCTAAGTCCCACTACAATATTTGCTCGCCACCTTTCCTTGTGCTGCAGTTTAGAGACAGAGGAGTAAGGAAGGTGGATGTCTGCCACCAGTGTCCTTCATAGACAAAGTTAGGAGAAGGTGGAAAAATTGGGTGCACACAAGAAGAACTGCAAACTGTCCATCTGCAGGGCAAAGATGAGACTGCCTCAGTTACAGACAGCCTGCAGCCCATCTCCAAACACCAAATGTTTCTCTGCTAAAAGTTCTCCAAATTGTAATGGATACTTCAGTGCCAGAGAAAATTTTATACCTCTGGTGACAGGTGTAATCTTTTAGCTCTTTGTGCAGTGAGGAGCAGTTGTCCCAGAGTCCCATTGCTGATACAAAATATAGTCTGAGGCAGGGATGTGCATTATGACTATAGAGCAGGAGTGCAAATGAATGAGTGTTTAGTGTGGCTTCTGTAACTTGGGCACACTGGTTTAGCCTACCCTTTAGAAAGCAGCAGTGGAGAGCAGCTATCTATGGTTTCTGAAAGGTAAGCTTGAAAAGGTCTGTGAACCATTATAAAGAACAGAACTGGAAAGAACATACTTTCCTCTGCTGCTCTCCTGTTTGTTTGGGGTTTTATTTTGTTGGTTTTCTTGGGCTTTTCTCATATAACCGTATAACCATGTAGCCATAACAGCATGATTTAATGTGTTCAGACCACTGGTGTCACCTTCAATTGGAGCAAAGAGCTTGCAATTGCCAAAGACCATGGCAAGAGAAGAGGTCTGGGCTGCTGTTGAAGGGCCAAAATGGTATCTGCACAGTGAGCACAAAATGGCCAGTGCTGTCTTACTCATTTAGCAGTCCTATCATCATGCTGCTATCACACAACAGTTTACTGAGGTTTGGATGCTAAGGACAAATACCCTTGAAAATCCCAAAGCCCTCAATTTCAATAGAAAATTATGCTGGAGTTCCTTATATAGCTCCTGCTATTGCATTATGAGCACCTCACAGTGTGCGTGGTTGAATTTGTTAGGTTGTATCAGCTCCCTGTCTGTCTTCCCAGTTCTGAGGAGGAAGAAGGGAGGAGGCAGGCCTGGAAGGATGGGCGGTGATGCTGAGCTGAGTCTGAATATGCAGCCCAGGACTTGCATCATCTCTGTAAGGGAGGGGGCACACTCAAGTTCCTTGCAGTGCTCAAGGCATCAGGCATTTTGTCACCCTCTTTAGAGAGGGCAGGGTCAGAAGCTGTGTGTGGGTAGTGGTGTGCGTCCAGGTACCCAGCACCTCCTCTGCAGCTGGAATGAGCCTTACACTAAGAAAGCTCATGGTAACAGGTGCAAAATCTGCACCATGTGGTAAATATAAACAAACACACCCATTTGCAGTCTGGAGGACACTCTGCCTTTCTGCCTTCTAGGATCCCAGTGCTGCCTTCAGTTCATTCTCCCATTCCCCCTGGAAAATTATTCAAAACCAGTTTTCTTCTTGTTAGCTGCCTATAATGTCACATGCTAGGAATTTTCACTCACTTTCTTTTTGAAAAAAAGACTCCCATAAACTTGGAAGTGTAGCCCTTTTCATCTCATTTGCCTAGCCCAAATGCTTGTCTCAGTGCCCCCTTATTTTGGATAACAGTGGAAAATTTGGTCTTCCTCATCCAGCATTCCAGCCTTTCATTATAAGAATGTACTGAAGTGTGAGGTAGTCAGTGTCTGCAGGTCAGGAGGGGAAAAGCTTCCTTTCTTGCAGGAGGAAAGAGATTATTTCAAGACAGACTCAGAGAAGCTCTCAGCAGCGTGTTCTCCAGGGATGGTAATGGCTTCTGCGTACCGATCCAGCAGGAGGGCTTAGCACCTAGACAGTGCTGTACTTTGAGGACTTAAATTGTAGCAGGACTTCTGCTGCCTTAGTGTGTAGCTGGATTTTACTATTTCCTTCTGCTGTATGCTTTTCAGCTTGCTGGGAGCTGGAGGTTGACTGCTTTTATGACATGCCTCCTTTCACAGATGTTTTTTCTCCTCCCTATGTTTAAGATTCTGCTGTCTTCATTCTCTGTTATACAGTGTGCTATGCCAGATTCTTCTAGACCTTCTGTCCAGTTATCATGTAACACAATTTTTTTTGAATGGGAGTAAACAAAGGGATTATTAGAGAGTAGCAGAGCAAGAAAAGTTTGTTGCTCAAAAAGTTGCTTGGAAGCAAAAATATTTTGCTTTTTTAGTTCGGATTTATAATTCATGTGGAGAGAGAGGATGAATCAAAAGTGAGCATTTTTGTGTTCATTTTAGAACATTTGTGTGCTACAAGTTAGAGCACTTTTCTACATTTGGTTCTGTCCATACCGGCCCCAAAAATATGGAATGCTTCATGAATTTGCATGTCACCCTTGTGCAGGGACCATACTGACATATGAATTTAAGATGAACCTTTTTTTGGTGCTTTGGTTCCCATTCCCACTGATAACAGAGGGAGCCAGCAATCTGGGGCACTGGATGAGAACCCCAAGAAAAGGATTTGCAGCACATTTGATCTACCCATTCCCTTTGCAAGTGTGCTGCCTTGAGCACTGGCAGCACATATACATCTTTATGCTGGGTGACATATTGTGAAATCTGACCAACCGAACAACACAGAAATCCTTTCATGTTCCTGTGCCTTTATTCGACAGTTGCATTTAAAATGCACTTTTATAACTATAAATTCTGTAATCGATTGGACGCTGTTTACAATATGATCAAATTTGGTTCAGATCCTCTCAAACACTTTATGGGTTAAACTTAACTGTCTCGTCTCATTTACCCAAAGCAATATACTAGTTATTATTCTGTGATTGTTAAATCTTATGAATGATGGCTTTGAAAGACATCCCTAGCAGAGATGTACATTTCTCATTATCTCAACCTGTGTAACTCCTGCGTGCAATATTTTATAAAATAAAGAGACATTGAAAAGGGTAATGCTAATTCTGTTCTCTCTGTTCTCTTCCTTCTCCAGCACGGCTTTGGGGTTTTTTTGCTTTTGTTTCTGTGTTTTTTTTTTCTGAAAATGGATGTGTTTCACTTTACTAAAATATCTTTTTTACAGCTTTAATATCATGATGGTTATACTGCAGTGAGTTGCAGTAATGAGTTAACTTATTATGTGTGCTCAAAGGCATATTGTTTTGGTGGGTTAAATTGGGTGCTGTAGGAGCACATTAAGAAACTTTACATTGTAAGAACACATTAAGGGCTGGACAGGGGAAAGGATGATGTTTTTACTACAATGTAGATTGGAGTCCTTTTATGACTATCCCAAGGTGTAAGATGCCTCACAGAGATGGGAATGACATCTGTCTCACTCCAAACATCTGCTGGTATTTGTGCCTGGATTCTGGTCTCACACCTAGATGTGTGGAATTAAAGCGTGATATAAAATCAAAAGGGAATTGAGTTTACTGTTTGTAGAACACAACGGAGCAAAGTTTCTTGCTGATGGGTTTATCTAAAAGACTATAATGTTTTTCTGCACATGATCCTTGAGGATGAGCTCATTCAGTAAGTCTGTGGGAAATTTAACTATTCAAAATTTAATTGTAAATCTTTAACAGTCAGAAATGGGGAATCAAACCAAACTTTCTAACTACAATTATTCAGGGAAACCAGGAATTACCTTCTTTATTTCTCTCTCTTCTCCCTGCCAGCCCTCCCCCCCGCTCGCCCCTAATACAATCTAAAGTGTTTTCTGCAAATGTTCTTGCTAGAAAACTTAGGGAAAAAAGTGTTCTGTAAATATTGTTCTTGCTGAGCAAGTCATTAATGAATTAGGAAAGGAGTTATTTTTTCATCCTCTCAGTTAGATTAAACAATATTAAAGGGTTGACATGCCAAGTTGTTCAAGGCACAAGAAGAAGTAGTACGCTCATTTCCCACCACCAAATGAACAGACTTTTGAATCTGTAGAGAAACATTCTTCTAGCCTGGCTAAAAAGTTGACTCTATGACAGAACCTGCTGTCTTCAGCAGTTCAACCTCTGCCAGGCTTCCCTCCTTCCAACCCGCTTCTGAGGTCACCTGAATCAGCAAGCACAGTGCCTTGAGTCACCCTGAATATTTTGGGTAATTCAGCCATCCTGTGATGAAACAGTGAGAGTAACTTGTGGCTGGGAAAAGCAGAAGCATGTAATGGACCATTTAATTTTCCTTGACTTTGATATGTGATTTTGTAAATGCATATCCTTGTCTTCGTGTAGGTGAGTATGGGAAGAGGGTGAGGAAACTTGCTTTGTGGGGAGGGCGAAAGAGGTTTCACTCAATCCTTTATGCAAAATCCTTGTTGTGTCTTTCCATTCATTCTAAAACTTTGCATCTTCAGTTAAATGTAATGACATCTCACTTCCTCAAAGGAAAGTCCTTAGAGGCCTTTGCTAAGTTTCCGTCCTTGCAGTGATGTGGGAGTTGCTGCCCCTCTGCTGCTGGTGTGGAGCTCTGAAGTAACATGAAACAGCTTTTTATATTTCATAAAGAATCCATGGGATTTCAGTGGTGTTCAAATGCAGGACTAGGATAATTTTATTATTAACAAGAAGCCAAAAACAACAACAAAAAACCCCTACCAATTTACCTATTCCACCAAAACCACAGAGCCTATCTTAATAATGTCATGTGTGTTTTACAAGTTTCTCAACCTTGGGAGAAAAATTATGTTCTCATTCATTGACAAATCTTTAGAAACTCACCTTTAGTGAGTGCTAAAACTATAGTGCTGCTGTGCACAGTCAAGAGCATTCCCTGGAGCCCTCTGTCCATACTTAGTGGCACAGTGGCCAGTCGTAACCATAGAAAGGGGAACATATGAGGAGCTTGAAGCTGCCCTTAAAACCAGAACTAGCAATTTTCTTCAGTACTGGAGTGGTAGCCCTTAGCAAAGATCATACTCTACACCACTGACATATTCGTGTGCTAGCACAGCATCTTGTAATATCCCACAAATTTAGTATTGAATAAATACGAGTTTCATCAGCAACTGATAGACAGAAGATTTTATGATAAATTTGGACCAAAAAGCAATCAATTAATTAATTTATTATATTTATTGAAGAAATATTTTTCTTCTGTCTGCTGGGATGCTTTTAAGGCCAGTGTGCTTACTTTGACTGTGAGATAACCACACCATACATTTCTACGGGGCATGAGTGAACATGTTGAAGAACTTGTATGTTTATCTGCCCTCCCCCACGGCTCTTATATAAAAGAGATGTTACACTTTGGGAGTTTATATAGGCTAGCTAACTTTTATGTAAACAAAAAACTTAATGGAAGAGGGGATCTGTGTAAAAATGAGGAGTGCCAGATGAATGAGTGGGGGTTATTCACCCGCTGGATGCTGAGATCATGCTGTGCTAAATTTGACTTCTTATTTAAAGCAGTGATAACTTCAAAGCAGTGACACTGAAGAACAGGAAGGCTTTGGCTATTGTGAAGAAGGCAAACTTCCGTGCCTGGCTGCAAACAGATGGGATGATGTGGGACCGCTACATGGGAAGTGCAGCAAGGAGCACGGTCTTCCTCAGTCAAGGAGCACACCATTTTCCTGAGGGATACAATACCAGGCACAGTTAGTCCCATGCCAGATTAACTCAGATTTGGCTGAGATTTATTTGCAGTGCTCTTGCTATTTTTTCTTCTGTTCTGGAACACAATGAGATCTCTTGATGCTTGTGCTCCAAGACCCTGAATTCTCCACACCTTATGCCTTTCTCAAGGCAAGCAGCAAGACAGCCCTGCTCTCTTTCCTTTCCTCCCAGCAATGCACCACTTTCATCTGATCACAGGGTAAAGATAGGTCACTGTTTGTGGAACAGGGCAACACCAGTAAATGATAATGTTTCCACACCTCTTAAAGTGGTGGAGCTGTAGCTGTTTGGCCCCTGCACAGGGCAGCATCAAACCTATCCCAGGTGGGTACCTGACCTGCAATATAGGTGCAAGTCCTTTTGGGCTGGGAGGCTGCATTTTGTTTGGTAAGAGCTCCTGGAGAGGACTGTACAAAATGTTCAGATCAAAACTTCCAGCAATGAAAAACCACCCAGGTTTGGTTGTCATTACTGGCCCTGATGAAGTTTGCCAGGAGTATCTGCATGCCGCTAGGCTGCTGAACAGCTACATTTCAAGAGAAACTGCTCTGATTTATAGCTTGGTGTCATAGCACATTGCAGTCCAACAGCTGTGGACTGGCAGGGAAATGGACAAGACAACTTGGTGTCGGTATGTCTTACGTGTGAGATCTTCAAGTCAACAGCAAAGCATTTTAATGATCTGTCCTCTCAATAACCTCAGATGTGAAAAACTGACTGTCTGGGCACCAGGTGACACCTGTGTAGACAAAACAATAAATTTTTGGCTAGTCTATTTTACTGTGTACCACACCTCATACAGACACAACACTAGGATACTTATACACTATGTTGAACAGGATTGCTGTCTCTTTTGGTAGCAATATGCACTATTGCCCTGGGCCTACAGGACAGAAGAGTATTTGATTTAGCTTGCGTGAGATAAATCCTGTCAATGACAGGGACACTGCCGATTTGGAAACATACCCTGACTCAGCAAGACTTGCACAAATATTTTTCTTGGACAGTTACCAAGCAGTCAAGTAGCTGCTTCTACTACACATTTGCCCTTTTATGCCAATCCATACAAAGGATTATCTGTTAGCAAGAAATTTTTAAAAATAACTTGAGATAAAATGTTAAATTAAATTCCTACACATGAAATAAAAGTATCTCTCTCTACAATAAAAAATATGCACAGTTCATCCTTTTGGAACTCTGAGATTCTCTTTGCCTTCACTAGCAATTCTAACTTTACTCAGAGATTAGTGGGGCTGATAATTATTCACTGCTTCTGCCAACACTGAAATGAAGGGGCTTCCAATGAACTTCAAAACAAGGATGCAAAAAATCATACAAAGGGCACATGAGCCTACAGGTGCCAAAATATGAATACATTTAAAGAAAAAGAAAACAAAACAGATTACAAAAAATCATATAGGAGAGGCCTGTTAATTTGCATTACATTTGATGTTTTCAGTGCTTTACAGTGCTGTTTTCTAAAGCATTTTTGAGCAACAAAGAGCAAAAAACCTACTTTATTGATGTCGGTATGATCTGATCTGGTGCTTTTCTTTAACTATCTACTGGCAACAGCTGGAGTCATGATACCAAATATCTGTCCCTCCGACACCTGGTTTACTGCTCCTATTATAAGATTCCTTTGCAGAAAGTCCTGGGTTGTATCTGTGCTCAGATCACAGGTGTCTCCTACCTGAAGGATAATTTGTTGGTCTGGCCTTGGCATTGGCATGTAACTGGTCAAAAAAATGTTAACTTTTTATTTTCTTGTACTGTGTTTTAGTTTCTCTTGGATAATGCTTATAACACCTTCTGAACCAAAACCTGAGCATCCTTCAATGGCAATTGCCCTGTGTGCACCCGCTGGGCTACAAGAATCAAAAAAACTCCTAGTGAAACCCAAAGTACTGCCACCCACTGTCTGTGTCTATGACTTTTGGCCATGTTTCTAGCTGACAGAGATGCAACAGTATTAAACATTGAAGGGAAATAACTGAAAGGCATAAGGAAAAATAGACTACATGATACAGAGCAAGAAGCCAAGCTCTTGCAGATCTGCAGAGGAAGCTTCTAGGGACTGATGGCCCTACAGCTGCACATGGTGCCTACACTTCAGCTGGGAACTCTAACCCTGTGATCCCACTGTGGCAGATGGGATTGCACACAGACAGTTTTCAAAATCGTGAACACCTGCCTTTGGAGCCCTTGCCTCTGAGCAAGCCATAGGGAAATATGTGCTGACAGGTGGATGCACACTCCACTGGATTCTGAAGTCCATCTGTGTCCCTAAGGCAACTCTTGCACTGAACTGATATGGTCACACACATCACAG